AAAGTGTTGCTTTATATTGCTGCTCCAGCAGCTGCAGTTTCACGTATAGTCACTACTGGCTGCAGTATCACCAGCTTAACAAGTAATCAAAAGAACTGGATGCCATTGACTCATTTACGCCTGTATTTATTATTCTTATTGAAAAACCACTACACCTAATTCTATCGGTTTCCTTCTTGATTGAAAATATTCGAACTTGGAAAGCTCAATATTTCTTAAGACATTTGTAACTATTCAGCACAGATATTAAAATTACAATCATGCTGCATTGTGTTTGCAAGGATTTTTTTATAATAAAAATCCTTATACATATGGTGAGCGGGTGACCAGTGCTATGGAGGTTTGAAGATGTTGAATGTTCTTATAGCTGGTATTTGAAATTTTGATGTGTATTGCATTCGTTACTGAATATCAAGAATACATTTTTTTTTTTGCTCATATAGAGTAAATTCAAAATGGGGTCTTTTGTCGGAGCACCCATCCTGTTTAGAATGATATAACAGATGCTGAATGCTCACATATCAAACAGAATGCCAGCTTTCTGTAGAAAAGAGGTGTCAAAAAGTTTCTTTGTACCTTGAACGCATGCGATTATGTAGTACAAAATGCAGAGTTTGTAAAATTTCTTGAATATACAGGCAAAAAATGAATAATTCAAAACAACTCAGAAGTTCTACACTCTATTGTCCCTTTATAACACAGGCAGTAGATAGCAGTGTGCTCCCAATAGAGCTGAATTTGCACAAGTTACACCTCTGAAAGTGCCAGATGGTCTATGGTCTACTTTTGAGAGCTGTCACATATGTAAAGATTTGAAAAAAGAAAGACAGCTGAATGAGAGCAGTGGATCATTAAAGGGAGAGCGAGGGTCCCTAGGCGTCACTTGTGTTTTAAGAAGCATTGTGTCGTTCTTGTATTAGCTTGCTTTTTTTTTTTTAAAGACATACACAACTCTAACACAATAAGAAAAATTCAAGTAGTTATGGTTTAATAAGTTCGGTGCTTTTGTTTCTTGTTGAAAAGAACATGATGCTTCCCACTTGGTTTTCATTATAATTGGACCATAAGATGGAAGTCATATTCATTAAAATGATCAGCGATGTTAACTGTAATGTTGATTGAGATAGCTAATATGCCTAGGGCTTATCCAGTTTTGATTGTAATTTATGGACTGCGCACATGTGGAAAAATTATTTTTAAAAATCAGTTTTGGTGTTAAGAAGTAAGGGTGGAGAAATAATGCCTGCTGTCCTGACCATAATACAAACCACAGCTAAAATACTTAGGTAAACGTGGAACAAAAATAATGTACCCTCATTTACCTGCCCAGAGAAACAGATTCTATACTGGATGTTGCAATGCGGACAGATCATTAAGGGTGTTAAAGTACCACTGCAGTCATATGTAATCATTTGCAAATTGTTCATTTTGGTAGTGGGAAAAGGTTCGACTCTGTCGGGTTTAGGATTTGGCGCGAGGACACAATCTCGTTCTTACCAGGCTTATTTTTGTTTATTGAAAATGTTTAGTGATTCCATAACAATTCAAAATTTATCAAAGGTTAGAGAAGATGGCGTGGTGCTTTGGATTGATAAGAGGTTTTCATGGCACTGGTCAGTGACGTTATGACTTAACCAAGCTGTTGTGTAGCTTGACTTATTCTTTTCAGAGATAAAATGACTCTTAAACAACCGATGTATTTGGTAAGATTGCTGAAAGGGCCCAGAAGGAACATCCTTTTAAGTGCAAATGGATAAATAACATTAGATTCGAAGGCAGTCATTCAAATGTCATTCTAATTGAAGTGAGCAGTTACAGTAACTGTAGATTAATCTCCCAATCAAATAATTGCACATCCATAAAAAATAGACCTCTTTTTGCAAATTTCTGATTGTAGATTTTGGTGGTGAGATAGGTAGATATAGCTCCTCAATGGAGAATAAGCTTTTCTGGTTTTCATTTTTTTTAAATGTAAAAAAATATATATTTTAATAATCCCTATGCCTGTTACTTTACACATCTCCAAGCCACTCCTTTATGGAGAATTCGTTTTCAGGGGGGAATCAAAATACTTTAAGAGATTTTCATATTTTGATTTGGCAACACGGGTATTAATGTTAGTACAAGACTTGATAAGAATCCATAGTTCCTATTTTACTTAACAAAGTAACATAATTGAAATGATTCTTCTCGAAATATGCATGTTCAGGATAGGGTATTTTGATACGTTGCAGTGTTTTTCATGAAGATATGTATTACTTGGAGAAGAGCAAAGTGGACAACGTTGTGTTGAAGATTTGCTCAAATAAAAATGTCACTCATATTAAAGATTGGTAGGGGCCTGATGCAATAGCCTAGAGGCTGAAGTCCTTGCCTTACATTCTCTGGGATCCCACATGGGTCCCAGTTTGTCTCCTGACTGCTCCGCTTCCCTCCAAGCTCCCTGCTTGTGGCCTGGGAAGGCTATAGAGGACAGCCCAAAGCCTTGGGCCCCTATACCTGCACGGCAGACCCAGAAGAAGCTCCTGGCTTCAGATCAACTCAGCTCTGGCCATTGCAGCCACTTGGGGAGCAAACCAGCAGATGGAAAATCTTTCTCCCTCTCACCTTCCCTCTGTAAATCAGACTTTCCAATAAAAATAAATAAATCTTAAAAAAAATTTAAGAAATGTTGGCGCTAAGTTTAGCCCTTACACCTTCACGCCGTGGATAATCTATCTCCTTTGGATGTTGATGAGCACCATGCCTAGCTGTGTTTATCTCACACGTGGGACTTTCACTAGCACGAAGAGCTTCCAGTACTCATGTTTAATTTACCTTTCGTGGTTCGTCATTATCAAAAACAGATTCATCAAAATAGCCTTTTTAAAAATTTTGAAATTGTGCAAAGTATGGAACAATAAAAGGATCACAATTTTTTTTCTTGTGTTATTGTTGCTGCTGTCGTTTTGGGTGAAAAAACCTTAGATGTAAACAGTCAATACAAATGTTGACTTTGATCATCTCCGGGCTGATGCTGTTCTGCCTTGGCCTGCGGTGGCAGCATCCCTTCCGGGCACACAGTCCTGGCTTGCTCCACTTTTATCCCAGCTACCTGCTAACGCTCTGGGAAAGCAGCAGCGAATCACCTGGGTTCTCTGACCCCTACAGCCATGTCAGAGAGCTGGAAGAAGTCCTGGGCTCTGAGCTCTACAAGCAAGGCTCGTGCTCCACAGGGAAAAGGGGCTTTTTCTGCTGTAAACTCTATTGCTGCCCTCGTAAGCCCATGGGCTGCTGAGAAGTGGAGCTGCACGCTTGCAGAGACCCAGGCACACGTGTCCACGGTCTGTGTTACACCTGGCCCGTGTAGTGACGCCGTGTGTGGGGGGTCTCTGAATACAAAACAGTATTTTGCTGTGAAAAAACTCGGGTCACATCCCAGCCGCAGAGTGGCCTAGAGGATGGCACGTGGGAATGTACCAACATCTGAGTGTTTAGAATGGCTGAGCTGCACGAATAAGAACTCTTCACTCTCCCTGCTTTGTGAATCAATGTTCAGACAATGAAATTAACTTATCCTGCTGAGTGTCATACTATTAAAATAATTTCCTGTAGTTTGGCCTTCCAATGAAATTTCGTATTAAATTTCAATTCACACTTAACATTTTTGTAAGATTTATGAACTTATTTGACAGATTCACAGAGAGATCTTTCATTTGCTGCTTCGCCCCTTGCCCACCCCTCCCCCAGATGGTTGCATGGCCAATGTAAGACTAGTCGGGAGCCAGAAGCTTCATGTGGGTCTCCCGCATGGGAAGCAGAGACCTATGTACTCTGGCCACCTTTGTCCTGGTGTCTTAGGGGATTAGCAGGGAGCTGGATTCCAAGGGGAGCATCCCGAAGAAACAACAGCTCCCATATTGAATGTTGCCAAAAGCAGCCTTATGTGCTAGCCTAGAATGTCAACCCACATAACATTTTTTTTTTGTAATATTAGTTTCTTGTAATTAAAGGTAGAGTTACAGAAAGAGAAGGCTAGACAGTGAAACAGAGTGATATAATTCATATGCTGGTTCATTCTCCAAATGGCTCTCTTTTTCTTCTTTAAAATTTCTTTAGTGATTCTTAAGTATTCTTCCTTACAGATTTTTTGGCCAGCTTTTCTAGTTCCAATATCAAGCTTATTAGAAATGTGGAAATTATTTGGTCTAAGCAGATTTGGGAGAAGAAATATATTAACAATTAGCATGTTTCATTTGTGTTTCTTTTAAGCCCTGCAGTTAATGTTTTGTCACTTTGACCATGATATCTCTGCCCATTTTTCCCTGGTTTAATTCCTAGTTGGTGTTTTATTTTTCCACTTTTGCTATTGTGAAAATTTCCCTTTTTCTATTGTATTTGTTTCTTAGTTACTGTTGGCCCATAGGAAGAATTACTGACTTTTACACGATTGATCCTGCTTAACAATTGATCAATTCTTAGTCTTTTAGGATTCATTTATTAGTGTTTTTAGATACTATAATCTGTCCCCAAATTGCCTATTTTATTATCCAAAAAATACTTAAGAGAAAATGTGTTTTCTTCTTCAGGCTGGGTTGAAAATAGAATTCAAATGAACCACAGTTCTTTCTGTTTTAAATCAGTTCAACTTTGAGTTGCCAAATTTATTCTTTCCCTTTCTTTCAAAAAGATAACTGGATAGTTTTACATTATTAGGAGTTTAGGGATAATTTTACTCTGCTTGGAATGCTCAAAAGAAGGTCTGGTATATAGAAAGTAAAAAAAAAAAGTGCATTTTCAGATTTCTGATTTGAATTTTTTTCTAAAAACCAAACACATGTGTTTCTCTGTATAAAGCTGCTTCTGAAAATCTGTTCCTTTGACACTTTTGGTAATTGGGCTTTCTCTTTGGCCAGCCACGCTCCTGTTTTGTCGCTTTTCCGTTTTAATGTATTATATGAGAAGTCTTCATCTCTGTTACTGAATCTCTTTCTCATTCTTGTTTTTGCCCCTTAATTTAGCCCAACCTCAGCGCTTACCCCGGATTCAAACTTCAGCACAAGAACTCAGCGAGGAGGAACTCGGCAAGATAAGAAATGGCGGCCACGTGGGCTTGAGCAATGGGAATGGAATTCATCACGTGGCCAAACATGTGTCCACGGATCATCGCAAACTTTCAGCGCCTGTTTCTCAGAAAATGCATCGAAAAATTCAATCCAGCTTGTCTGTAAACAGCGATATGAGCAAGAAGAGTAAAGTTAGTGCCGTCTTTTCCCAAAAGACAGGCTCTTCACCTGAAGGTAAGTGTAAGATACATGCGTATTTTATTTGGTCAGATGTCAAAATCGTAGCCAGTAATGATTCAATCAAGCAATCGTAATTGAAGAACTCTTGCTTATTCCTGCAGACAAACTGAAATTTTGGTGAAAGGCACCTTAACTTCCCCAAAGGAAAGCACAGGGTGGAACAGAAGTATTGGCAGCTGACATGCTGCTTTTAGATTGTCCTCTTCTACAGTGAAGAATTTTTATTTAAATGTAACTGCTATGCTTCTTTTTACTTTTTTAATGTCACATTTAGACATATAAATGCAACATTTTGGTGCATATCTGATTCTTCTTTCCTTCCTTGATACAATGTTGGTTTAGAGTTGAGAGATGAGGTTACCTGTTTTTATTTTTACCTAGCAAATTGGTTCTTGAACATGTAAAGCTAATCTAAGAAACCAGTGGGATACTTCGGTTGAACTTGTTCGAGTGTGCCAGGGGATCATCGTTACTGGGCTCACCATCATGTGCCTGGGCTCCCTGCTGTAGTCTTCCACCCCAACCCACCTCACTGCTTTCTGGCCGTTGATTGCTCCCTGTGAAGCCCTTAGCTGTTTCCTCTGACTCCCTTTGGAACAGTCCGTTACTTCTGTTCAGTTCTCTGCCTCGTTCTGCCCTTGGTTAAAGTCAGGTTAAATGCTATGAACTTGAGAAAGTTTGTATTATAAAACACGTGATATAACTAACTTTATAGATATTTTTAATGGCTCATTATTTGATGTTATTCTTCCCATTATATTTAAGGTTCCAAATTTCTCCTAACACATCTGTCTTTTGCTTTTCCCCCTTTTCTCCTTTTGCAGTTTAGTATAAAACCTTGAGTTTTATACACACACATACACACATATTCACTTTGCTGATCTTAATTGCTATCAAGTGTTAAATAAAGGAAATTCTGTGGCGTGCCTGTCTGAAGTTGGCTATGCTTATTCATAGAGAGAAATTGAGTTGTAAATAGGAAATTATATTGAGAGTTACTGGTAATGAGTAGTGAAAAAGACTATTATGCTTTGGCTACAGGTGTCTCGAACTCAACTAAGGTAAAGTGTTAGGTTGATCAAATGATATGATAATAAATGGTCTGCATAGTTCCAGGTCAGTGACACTACTTTCCAAACTAATTAGATTGAAAGGGACATGATTGACACTTGAAAATGAGTTTGACATGTAAGCTCCATGGTCATCTCTGAAGTATAGGTAGGCTGTTAACTAAACTGGTTCTCCAAGGAGTTGGGAAGGCAATGCAATTTTCTTTAGAGGATCTTTGCTTCTGGGTGATTGGGTGAAATAATTGAATGCAATTGAAATGTACTTGTTTTATACATTTGAATTTACTTATTACATCCCTAACCTTTTATTTTTCATTGAATATTTATTTATTTTAATATGAAAGAACGTTATCATTTGCATATCAATCCCATTTGAAATAGATTATATGGGACTTCTACAAAAATTTTCATTATTGCTTGCTTTTAATAGTGTGTCTGAATTTATTTCTAACTTAAGAGTAGAGGTTCATCAATAACATGTGTAGGAGTGAAATGTAGTTCTACTGTTTCTTCCTATCCTTTCCCCTTTCTCTTGTGCACTTATATTGACCACAGATCTGATAAGGAAAGTGCTTTTTTATCTGCTAATCGCAAAATGTAGTGTAGGCGGTATGAAATAGAAATGAAAATGTCCAAATATGCGTAGAAGGTCCCATCTCCGTGTTTATAGACGTCTTTCAATTTTTAAAAAATAACTTTTGTATTTTCTTACGGCGGGGGTGGGGAGAGAGAAAGGAGAGCGCGTACACTGCACCATTTCCTTTCTCTTACGAATGTTTCCTCTCCACGTGCCAGAGACTGGCCGAAGCCAGCAGCACAGAAACCAGATCTGCCTGTGGGTCGGGGGCTCCGACCACCTGAGTCAGGTTAAATCCTGAGAAATTGTGTAATATGAAACAAACGTGTGTGATTATTGTTAATTTTATAGATATTTTATATGGCCGTATTCTTTGAGCTGCTGCCTTCAAGGGTCCCCATTAGGAAGAAACTGGAATAAGGAACTAAACTAGGGTACTGCTGAGATACCATTGTTTTAACCGGTGCCCTGCCCGTGTGGGTAGCTTTTACTGTGATTGCTTGAATCTTGGTTAAAATATCCCCTGCCTGATTCTGTCTTCCCAGAGTTGGATGTCTGTGCTCATTGTCATGGTATGAATGTATGCCCTACAATTTCTATTTTCTGTTTTAAAGTTTATTCACTGACAACATGCTATTGTCAAAATAAAAAAAAAAGCAAGCAAACAAAAAAAAAAGCAAAAATCCTACACTAAACAGCCAGATTAAAAATTAAAAGAAAAAAAATTAAACCCTGCCAATTACTAGCCATGGGACTTTGATGTCTAGGACCTATTTGTTTTCTGTAAGATGAAAGATGTGTGTTAGATGATTTTGGTTACGTTTGGTTTGTAGACTGCTGGGTTCTCTTCACGGCAGCACTGCTTCCTTCGCAGGGCAGATCTGCTGCTTGGCAGGCTACATTGTGGTGTGGTCTCATTTCTCACGCATTAGAATGGAAAGTGGCAGAAAACATTCTCAGTGAGCTGGACCACATCTGGATTTCCGAACACCTGTGTGTCTGAAGTTGAGGTCTTCAGTAGACTTGCTTTGTTGTGTGAATAAAAGTAGTGATTTTTAAAAAAGATTTTAATTTTATTTTTATTGGAAAGGCAGATTTTGACAGAGAGGGAAGAGGGGAGAGAAGGAAAGAAAGGGAGAGTGTTCTTCCGCGTGTGTTGGTCCATTCCCCAAATGGTTGCAATGACCAAAGCTGAGTCAGTCTGAAGCCATGAGCTTCGTCCAGATCGCACACATGGGTTCGTGGGCTCAAGGGTCTGATCTATCCTCTGCTGCTCTCCTGGCCCATAAGCAGGGAGTTGCACTGGAACAACTGGGACATGCACTGGAATCCATATAGGTTGCGGCACCAGAGACAGAGGCATAGCTTGATAAGCTGTGGCACTGACCCTCCAACTCTTCTTGCATAATTCATGCAGTTAGGGTGTGCCTTCTACAGACAAGGCACTGTTTTACCTGCTTTGCTCATACGGACTTTTTAGTCCTTCCCAACTACACTTTCATTCTATATGTGCGTGCTTATGTAATTATAAATACAGAAACTGAAGCACAGAGAGGGGAAGTGAAGCCACCCAGAAGTCCCCTGGTCTGTGTGTGGTAAAACTGAGATACAAGAATAAGCACTCTGTTTTGGAAGAACATGCTCCCAAACACCGTGCTGTGCGATTTGTCTTACCGGAGAGTTCTCCGAGAAAACGGCTGTTTGCTGGCCATTCCACCGTCGCATTGGATGGGCCGATGTTAGTAACTCTGAACTGGGCAGATTCTGTCCGTTAGTAAACATTGGCCTTCTTAAAGCCTTTCCCACGAAAACTTGGAAAACAGCTTTCACATCTGTGCTCTCTTTTCATTTTTCTTCCCAATTCATCCATAAATTCTAATAAGGCTGGACTGTGTTTGAGTCAGTTTTGGATTCTATTTTTATTAATATACAGCGATGCCTAACATAATAGCTGTGTGGAATTTTCTGTGAGTTAGCAAGTGATACCACACCTGGTTTCAAACCAATTTATCCTGCTCTTCCATGAAGTTGGGTTTGGAAAAACAAAGTATGTGCTCATATTTCCTAAAAGAATATTCTTTGAAATGTCCCTTTTTTACAATAGAAGAAAAAATACACAAGTGAGAAAAGATATCACTTTATTGAAAGGTTACTAAATTAGTAGATTTCTACTCACTTAGCATAATATAATATTTCATACAAACTTTAATTTTCCAATTACATCACCAAGATGGAGAGTTCTAAGTCCAAATGTGTGAGATTCTTGACCTTTGAAATAATTATATTACAATTTAGTATCATATAATACTCCTCTTGCCAGGAGTTTTCATTAGGTGCTACGACATGTGTCTTGGGAATAATAAAAAGTATTTTTAAAGAGTATTTTTAAAAAGATACATATCCAGTACTAGCATATCATTGATCACAAACGTGTAACGGAACACTGACGAACACAGTGTATGAACTAAGATCATTTCATTTTTAATCACAGACAGGCAGTAGGATCTGGTGATTAGAGCATTTACGCTGGGACCAGTCTGCTTGAGGGCAAACATTGATTTCACTGCTGATCAATAACATTTCCTTGGGCAGATTACTTAACATTTTTTGGGCAAAATGGGAGAAATATGTGACTATTTTATAGGACTGGTGGGAAGAATCCAGTGGATACTGTTCACACCTGGGTCCAGAAGAATTGTTTGATAAGTGTCAGCTACTGTTGTGCCATCCTTATAAAGGATCACAGAGGGGTCAGGAATGTCAACTTCCAGGAAAAAATGCGGTGCTTGGATGAGCACATGGACCGTGAGGTGGAGAAGGGGAATGGAAGGTCAGAATAGGCTGTGAAGCTGAAGGAACTTTATGAATTCATGTGTCCTGTTCACGGAACTACAGATGGTTTGCTGCTGCATAGAAGATGAGGATGAGGAGAGGTAAGATTGGGTAATAGGAAGGAACCAGTCGGTAGGGACCCTGATCTGCCCTTTTCTTCTCAAACTGTAACCCAGATTTGTACGACTTGACTTCTCTGGAGGACATCATTTTATATCCCATATACACCTGTTGGAAAAATTACATTTGTATTCTTTCCATAACACTATAGCCATGCAGCTCTGTAGATACAGTGTGGTTGTCTTGATGTTTGTAGGAAATGTGTGATAATGGACACACCTCTGGTTGTCTTTATGGTCTTTCTCTTCATTACTAGTGACCCACTAATGTAAATAAGTAATGAGGCGGCTTTACGCTTACTGAGCTTTGGATTCTAAGAAGCTCTCCAGGAGGCATTGGCACCCATGTGTGGATAAGGGTTCAATCCCCTTTTACTAGTTCTTTCTCTTTATTCT